ACTCTCCTCTAACATAAGAGCTGATTAGTTAACTATATGATGATCAATGTTTCAGAAATCGGGCGTCAGTCTTTTGTTTATTGATTAGTTATTTTGTATTTTCATTACATTTGAAAATTTTTCGCCATAATGTATACTTTAAAAATTCGTCAAATGGAATATGAGTTCCGTCCTGTCACGAATGCGGCACAAACGGCACGCAACATACGACCGACGACGTTTACGGAGAGAACTTTACAAACGAACGCACAACCCGATATTGGTTTTCCCGGATCCGTTCTGGTAATTTTGACTTGAAAAATGAACCGAGGTCGTCCAGATACTTTCGTCAACAATGATTAATCAAAGGCCATTGTGGAAGCTGATGATACTCAATCTAAAGCCGAGCTAAAGTTAGCATTAAAACAATATTACTAATATACTGATTTCATTAATTGCTCGTATCATCTGTATGCTGATGACCTCCAACTTTACGTACAGACACTGACAACATCTACCATGCGGTTTCTAACCTTAACAACAATTTAAATGTTTTGAATGATTGGTCACATAAGTATGGGCTAACAATCAATCCTTTAAAATGCCAAGCTATTATTCTTAGCAGCCCAAAAATGTTGGCTAAATTGGACAAAAATATCCCTAATCTCTACTAGGGCGATACATTAATACCTTTTGATGGATCGGTGAAAAATCTCGGCCTTTACATGGATAATTCTCTGAGCTGGAATGTCCACATCAAGGAGATCAGTCGCAAGGTCATTGCCACCTTACGTTTTCTGTATAGTTTAAAACACTTTCTTCCTTTCAAAACCAAACTTATTCTGGTTAGTTCCCTTATTTTACCCATTTTGGTTTATGCAGATGTCTGTTGCTCGGATTTAAACCAAGATCTCCTTAATAAGCTGGAGCGTCTCTATAATAACTGTATTAGGTACATTTTCGGCTTAAGTAAATTTGATCACATATCTCAATATCGTTCCCAGCTTAAATGGCTTACTATTCGTCAAAGACGTAAATCTAGAATTATTCTTACTCTTTTCTCTATTCTTAATGACCATGCTTCTCCTAAGTACTTAAAAGAAAAATTCCAATATCTCTCATTAACTCACGATAAAACACTTCGTTCCTCAGCTAGTAGAATACTTTGTACTCCGACGCATCATTCCGACTTCTTCCATAAATCTTTTACTATTCAGGCTATACTACTCTGGAAGTCCTTGCCTCAGTTCCGCACCAAGCAAGGTATCATTTAAGAAAATGCTGCGATGTCACTATGCCAATTTTGCCGATTGTTAGAGTCACCAACTTTATCCTTCGTTTTTATTTCTCTGTATATATTATTATACATGTATTACATATTTTACTTATAATTATATATATATATATATATATATATATATATATATATATATATATATATATATATATATATGTATATATATGTATGTATGTAACATATCAAACTACGCTGCGTCAAATACCCTACGCGCGCGTACTACAGCGATCCAACGCGCGGTTACAGCGACGCACACTATGATAGTGGCCGACTATATAAGCGGGCAGTGGCTGCTTAGAAGGCAGTTCTGTTGCGAACGAACTAGCCGGATCAATAGATCTATAGGGCGCGTGCAAGCGAACAGAGGTGCTTTGTCTTGTATGAACGCTTTCTGGACCTTGTATTCGCCATAGTTGTATTTGTAACAATAAATAATTCAATTTTTGAGAAAGTCTATCAGTCTACACTGGCGCCCAACGTGGGGCGACTGCGACCAAGACTAGAAGAATTACCGTCTGCAGCCAATCAGAAACACTTGATCTCATTCTTGCAAACTTGTTCCTGGTATAGAAGATTCATAAAGAACTTCTCCCTGATTGTGAAGGATCTAACTAGCTTGACGAAGAAAAATTCCGTTTGGAAATGTGAAGGAGATGTGCTCCTATGCTTAAGCAAGCTGATTTTGATAAGCCTTATATACTCAAGACTGATGCAAGTAGTTATGCAATCGGTGCGGTTTAAGTCCAGGGGGGGGCATCAGAAGAACATCGAGTGGAGTATGCCAGTCGTCTACTCAGTCCAGCTGAGAAACTACTCCAATACGGAACGCGAAGCACTGGCAGTAATTTTGGCATTGACATTATCCGTCCAATAAGAAAAAGAGGTCGACCTAGGAAAACCAACAAACTAGTTATGCCACAGAATACAGTCTCCTTGTCGGGACGCCATCGGATCCGGAGGGGGAGATTGTAACATATCAAACTACGCTGCGACAAATACCCTACGCGCGCGTACTACAGCGATCCAACGCGCGGCTACAGCGACGCACACTATGATAGTGGCCAACTATATAAGCGGGCAGTGGCTGCTTAGCAAGGCAGTTCTGTTGCGTACGGCGACGCTTCCGCATCTCGTGGAACTAGCCGGACCGATAGACCAATAGGGCACTTGCAAGCGAACAGAGGTGCTTTGTCTTGTATGAACGCTTTCTGGACCTTGCATTCGCCATAGTTGTATTTGTAACAATAAATAATTCAATTGTTGAGAAATTGAAATTGTTGGTCTTGTGCTGGTGGTGGTGGTGAGTGGTGTGATTCTCTCACTCACACTCGCTATACTCACCAGACTGAAAAAGTTCAATTCCCGAGAAGCAGTTCCCAAAAAGCCTTTGAAATTTTTGTTTACTCCCGTCCAACTGATTTTTACAAGAAGTGCACCGATAATCTACCACTGCTTTGCAAAGATGCATTGATTTCACGGGTGATTACTTTCAATAACAGAAATCAAAGTTTGAAAAAAAAAATCTTATTCATTATTTCAAACAAAACGGAAATTTCATAGGCAAAGACCTAATATTAAAATATGTATTGTTACTACCTATTACTCCTTTATGTGCTATTTAAGTAGAAAAACATGAGAATATTAATCCATTTTTATTTGGTTAAACACTTTGATACAACTTAACATATAAGTTTCTTAAATAATTTATTAACATTAAAATAATTATTAATTTGCACCTTTCTAATCATTGCTGGCTGCTTACATTTTAAAAATAATAAAGGATTGAATTGCGTATAAAATAATTCGCAACAGTTAGCTGCAATGAAATATTAAGATATAAGTACATAAGTAATATAAGCTGCAGGGAATATTTTGCCACCATTATGTATTCATGTAAGCTATAGTATTTGATCAGTATTTCAATACAATTTGATGCAACAAATCAACATATTAGGACAATTACACCCAAAATGGAAGACAAATTAAAAATTTCAACTGTGCAATTAGCTCACTAACAAACATGAAGATTTCTTATTACACAAAGTATATAAATGTGAACAAAATTGAGTTTTGGAATCCAGCATAAACATGCTATACTATGAAAATGTATAAACATTATATAAAATGTAACTGGAACAGCCAGTAGACTCTTGGTAATCTGGCATTGGTCTTATTGAGCATCATATTTTATCATAAAGGAAATTTACAATACAATTTTCTCATATATTAACTATATATCTGTTTTCTTTGCCTATCCAAAGATGAAGTAAAAAATATTAAACATCAAATTAGCCCATCATCATAATATGATGGATTACAAGGCACTGCTTTTCAAAATATTTTAGAATACAAGTGGTTGATAAGAGCAATCATTACTACGATACACTTCGACATCTGACAGTACCTTTTAAAACATTTGTTCGATAACTGCCGTTCTAGTATAGCTCATCACCGAAATAGTTTGATTTTTTCGACATAACTATATAACGTTTTGTAGGAATTTAGTGGTGCAAGTGTAATGTCGCAAGTTACAATCTCAAATAACAAACACGAATTTTGTTTCACATTTGTACCTAATGTTGGAAGAACTCAACATATGTCATTATGTTTGGTTTAAAAGATGTGGGCTTATTTGCAAGCAGTAAGACTATTATGAAAATAGGAGTTATTCACATTCTTTATAGAATTAAATACAAATTGCACCTCATTAACAATCAATTTTCATAAAGGCACTTTAAATAATTGTGAGTTAACTTTGGGTTGTTGTTGAACCGTTATGAGTTTAAATGTTCAATATGTTGAATGTAAAAATTGATATTACTTATAATAAGCGTTTCTCTGCATATTAACTAAAAAAGTACATATTTGGTGTATCATAAATGTAAAATTTACAATATGTTATATAATTAATATTTGGATGTAGTTCTACACATTTGAATACTCATAAACACATAATTTCTGAAAAATTAATAGTTACTAATATGAATATGGCATTGTGTAATTTTTAAGTAAAATATTTGTCAATTACATTCATAGTATTGTATATGTCATTAAAACTATATCAGCCACAAGAATTACCTAATAACTCCATAACATTTTAAAGTTTCTAGCTCATACTTTAGTACATAGGATTTTAGTTATGTTATTTATATAAAAACATTTATGTATTTATGTGCATCTGTAAACCTAATTAAATAAACAGCAATGTAACTCATACATTCTGTACCTACAAACTACAGAAAGTAAACAGATTTAAATTCACATCATTACAATAAAATAGTGAGTTATATCAGTTATTAAAGCATAGCATAACATTTGTACTAAATACTACATCACTTTTAACAATTGTATTTAATAGCATTTGTTATTTTATATTGCATAATCGTAGAATCTGATAAATGATGCAAATAATTTAGTGTAGAAATAACATATAACATTCAAATGCATTAGTATAAGACAACAGTACTGATAATATTTAAACATAATTTTTATACTTGTTCCAATCCTAGATTGCAAAAAAAATACAGAATGAAATGAACCTCCATTTTCTAAATACAGTTCTCCCTATAACATAAATACAATACTTATGAAAGATAAAGGTTTAAAACAAGAAATAAATATGAATGTTGACTTCTGGAACTTATGTTTAATTCAATGGCCTAATTTTTTCTGTTGTTGTTTAAAAAATTATCAGTAGGGATAGCCTTATAATTATTATCAATTATACTCGCACTGTTGAGGCAGTGTTGCTATCTAGCCCATTAACTGGAGCTGGTATATCAGTTCTGGGTCTGCGGAACAAGAGTACATGAGGTTCTGGATTGTGTACCATGAAATGAAGCCAGCCTGGACTCTGCTGAACTCCTAAATTGCGCCACTCAGTCTCTGTCATGAGATGGGACTTGGGAACAAGCCTGGCTATGTCTGGTGGAAGGATTACATGTCTGAAAAGTTGTTAATGACATAAATGAAAATAAAGGTTCCTGTATACAAAACCAGTACAACTTTTTCTTAAAAAATAGTTAAAATTATTGTAATTTATTTAAAATTATGCGGTTAAGTAAATAATCTAAAAGCTGATAACTAATAAAGCAAAAGTAATATAAAGTACATTGACATTTTAAATGTATGGTTTAATAGGAAACTTATGAAAAAACAATGAACAATTTATATTCCTAACACATTTAAACATTGACCTTTGACATTTCCATGGGGTCAACAAATTTGCATTGACATCTTTTAATAAATTTGGCCCCGGCTACTAAGCTCACCAGACGAAATAAACTTCACTTGTCCATTTGTGCAACAGTGTATAGTTATAAAGTTACAATCAACCTGCATAGGTTTATTTCATAATGCAAATTCTTTTGTATGAAATAAATTTTATTCATTTTCCTTTCTTGGATTTTTCATAAAACATTATGTTCTATTAATTAGGTCTTACACTGATGTAATGTCTATACAATACTTACGAAAATACGCAACCCTGTTGTCATCGAACATATGGGTTGAAAATATCGAAAGAAAATCATTGAATTTAAATTATACAGGAGAAATACTTAAAAGACTTGTCAAGAATAACGTGAAGTGATTTCTGAATAAATAAATAAGTACAGTTTTTGAAATATAAACATTTTTCTTACCTGTATTCATAGACGTCATCATTATATCTTTCCGAGTATTGTATTTGGTCCACTGGCATTTTTTAAGTATTTTGTTTACACCAATCTAAGCAATATAGGTCTTTTCTCTATTCTGTAAATGCCTCTGTACTATGTAAAAACTAACGGCGTGGAAGAAAATAGATTTTATACAATCAATTCTCAACCGTTACCAATTTAACCTCGCAGCGCAGACGGCAGATCAGCTGAAGTTTGTCATTTTTGACGTAAGGCTAAGGAAGTGGAAGGAAGTGTTAAAAGAGACGAGATAAGAATGATTTTCTTAGAAGACTAATTTTAAACTTTAGAAGTATAATTAAAATTAACTTGTAATAAAATAAAATACTCATTAAAATTTTAATATTAGTCACAAATAATTGTAAATATTAAAACTAAATTTTTCTTGATAATTAATAAAAATTTTGATCGTTACCGCAATTTGGAGGGAACGTCAATATGACATTTATTCTATATATAATACTCCAATTCACGCATTATTACCTACCTTTATTTTTAAATACTCATTACTTACAAGATAATAATTATCTCTAGCAACAGGATTTTTTTCTATTTTCGAAATACTCGTAAATGAACTAGTAGTAGTAATATTCATCGAACAGAATTTTATGGCACTTACGATACAATTGGATGATTGGAAAAGGTCCTATCGATCTGTAAGAAATGGAAGAATTTGGTATACAATCAGTTTTTCGTCGATGATGATGATTGCTGCTCGACTCTACGTTTCATTGAAACTTCGTTCCTGTGTAAACTGATTACCGGATACATTGTTTATGTAGTATAGCCAGGCAATAACTTATGATGTAGCACGAATGATCAACAGCGTAAGTTATTGCCTGAGAATGGCTTGGCTCGGGGAGCACCATGACCTCACAAAAACGAGAAGTCGAAGCATTTATTGTACTTCTGTGTTTCATCTGTTGTGTGGGATATCCGAGGCCCATTTTTTAAGGTTGTTAACGCATCTGCAAACCCTCAATTGTTGTAACTGTCCATGGGTGGTGGGAATCGCTTAACAGCAACTAAATTTGCTGACTTATCATGTGCTCCGCAACGAACGAAAACATGGCGATGATGACTGCCTATTCTCGAAAAAGTAATAAAATAATATATGTGAATTCTGCCAATATGCTCTAGTACCTGTACAGAGGAGTTAAAGGCTTATGTATATAAAGATGCATATACCTTTTATGTTTTCGTAACTCTTAAATTTTATTTTTTATATTGTTAATGATTTTGTGTGAAGATTAATTTCATAATTAGGGTGACAATTTAATTTAGTTTATGTTTCTACTTGACTTGGAGTTAAGTTTGTTTTAATGTCATGACTTATTTATACACAGGAAGAATATTACGTAAGTGGGAAGAGCAGAACCATTGACGTTGTCATTATACCGGGATCATTATCCAATCACTGCGACCCTACTCTCTGCTGCAATTCAATAATATCACCCCAAAGTGGTTGCACCATCCTATATCGTAAAATCTAGGGATAATCTACGTTCCAAATTTATATGGATAAAAGATTTGTTCTAGATTCCTAATGCTAGTAAATGAAATAAAAATGTAATAATTATTACAAACCCGTGTTTTACCATACCAAAAAGGTTATTATTTTATAATAACATTTTTGCTATGGTAAAATGTAACCTGTATGTTGTCTTTCAAATATATCGATATGCAACCTAATTTAACATGACTTACCTAAAATTTATTTTAGTTTATTTTAGATGAGTCATATTAAATTAGTTTCATATTTAAATAAACCCATTTAAATAAACCGTTAATTAACGCTTTGATTAAAATAAGCGGCGTCATGCTGTTCATGATAACTTAAAAATGTCCTACAATTTCGCATTGTGTATGGTCACTGTCGATATCAATTGCCAATCACGCCAACTGGTATAGAAGCCGAGCCGTGTTCCAAGCTCCCAGGTCCTTCATTCAGAGTTCCCCGGCCCCCTGCACCTATCGTTCCCTAACCATGAGTGCGATCACACTGGAATTCCTGCAAGACCTCCTCAAGGAAGATCATCCCAATGTCCTTCTTAAAGAATTTGAGGTAGGTTAGAGTTTTAGTAGAACGCCACTTGGAATGTCACATTTAAAATTCACACAATCACATAATTAGTTTGTAAGATTTTGCAGTAGGTTTTTCCTGTCGTTACAGGGTGCGCCCGGAACAAAAAGGGGAGACAATTACACCTCCATGGTCTACCGAATTTCGTTGAAAGGAATTAAACGGAAGGACGATGACAATTCCTCCGAGTCATGGGAAAGTTCCATAATCTACAAGTGCTTGCCAGAGAGCATTTTACGCAGAGAAGCTTTCAAAAGTGACGAGCTTTTTTGTAACGAGGTGGCATTTTACAATAAGATCTGGCCAGCCTTGTCCAAATTCCAATCGCAGTGGGAGAGGGTCACGCACCCCTTCAAGTGTATACCGAAATGCTACCTGGCCCAGAACGATCTAGTGATTCTAAGGGACTTGAAGCAGCTGGGTTTCGTTATGCCCGATCGAAGACAGGGCTTGACCATAGAGCAATGTTATTTCGTCTTAAAACATTTATCACATTTTCACGCGCTGTCGCTCGCAATGAAGTGCTATAATCCTGAAGGTTTCTACGAGCTCTTGAATATACAAGATGGTATATCTGAAGGTAGGTCTAAACGACACCTCACTTCGATCGGTACGAGCAAACGTTAACTGTAATTCTTTGCGTAATAAAGAAACGAATATAAGTATTGACCACCTTAAATATCTCTAAGACGTATTTTTTTATGTGAAAAGTTGGCAAGCGAGCATGCGCTTCGCCTGATGTTAAGTGATTACCGTCGCCCATGGACATCTACAACACTTGACGGGTTGCATAAACGTTGCCAATCTTTAGAAAAGTGGGCCCCGATTACCTCACTCACCAGACGAAACGCTAAAGTATTATACTTGCACTTCACACCTGTCTTCTTTGAGGGTGTGATAGTTCCCCGGACGTGCCTGTCCATCCGTACAATAGAAGAAGGTTCTGTGACTCTACCCCAGTAAAGTGGTATCGGAAAATTATTCCAAATTTTATTCCTTGATTACTAAAATCACAAAATACTCAAATACCAATTCGTGCGATTGGTCATGAAAAGAAGTCTCAAAAGTTAAATCCCACGGCATTTGAATATATTATTTATATTTATATTATATATTATTTATATTGTTATATATATGTTATATATAAGCAGGTGTTTCGTTGTAAAAATAATAAACTTTACTTATGATTTCGAAAACAAGATTTACCTAATAATCCAACAATGCGTTTAGATATCCTTGAAATAGTAGAAACACTATATAATTATGTACCTATTATAGACAGTGAGCAATTACGAAAACCTTTCAGTATTCTTTGTGCCGGAGAATGTAGATTATTATAGAAGTTACTACACAGAAGCGATTCAGAACGCGGTAGCGATGGTAGAGGAGGAACTTCAAGAGTGCAAGGATAAGGATTTGTACCTGGACAAGTTCCGTCAGTTCTGCAGCGAGGACACCTTCTTCCAAACCATGATGGACATGGTCGCTCCAAGGGAACCTCTTGCAGTCATTTGTCATGGGGACTGCTGGACGAATAATTTGCTGTTCAGATATGTCGACGGGGATATCGCTGAAGTAGGTTTTACATTTCTTTTTATTCTCTTAATATTTATGAACAGTTTATCAGACCAACGAAGGTTCAACGTTTATTTGATGCATAGATTAAGTTCAACTTCTATGTGCTGACTTTATTATTTATATTCAAGTTTTGATAACCATAAAAAGGGCCAATATAGTCTTTATTATACAACAAACAACTTATAGTATAAATACTCCTTAGTAGAAGTATTGTATATCGTTGACATGCTGTCCAAAATATTCTATTATTGCTTTAATATGTCACGGAATACAATTATAACAATTGAAATATACTATAATGTAAACAATATGAATGTTAGCACAGTTGCTATCTGAAGATTAAACATATGGAAACTCTAAGACAGTAATAATTAGCGATGTGCGACTCGAGTTATTTGACTCGAGTAACTCGAGTCAAACCTTAAAAGAGTCAACTCGAGTTCAGTTTTAAGCAACTCGAATCAACTCGGTCGTCCGAACGCAAGCCGGACGCGGGGGCCTCACGAGTTGTTCCGAGTTACACACGCGGCTCGCGCGCGCGGTTCGTTAGGCGTTGCAACTCGCATCAACTCGCATCAACTCGAGTTGAGTGAAATGTAAAGTTACGTTTCACGCACGCGCGCCGTTCGTAAGGTGTTGCATCTTACTCGCATCAACTCGAATAGAACTCGGGTTGAGTCGGGCTCGTTCGGCTAGGATCGGAAACGGAATTGCGCAAATGATAAACCGCTTTAAAAGTTTATTTTGTTTTTTGGTTGAAATTTTGTTATTTGATTTTATTAGTTGGCCGTTGGCGATCCGCGTGCGAACTGACATTTTTGATTTGTTAGTGATCTGTTTTGTTTTGTTTGTAACGACGTCAAATAACAGAAGTGTGGCGTGGGAATTCTTTGCTATAAAAACAGAATTTTTTTTTAACTTTATTTTCGATAAGCAATCGACTATGTACAATTACATTTTATAAGTACGACTTTGAGGCGATAGATGGCGGTATTTTTTTGTCGTATTTTCTTAAACACGATGTTGAGATCTGCGCTGGAATAATATACCCTTTGTTGATTGATTTTCGAAATAAAATGCACACTAGTGCCAATTTATTGTAAATTTTGTCTCTGAAATCCCAACCGTCGGACACTGTTCGAGGTCGAGGTGTATAGGAAAAGGAGAGGATTAGTTCAGACCACAAACGAAGTTGCGAATCGACTCGAGTAGCCACATAACATCACGATTCAACATCATTATTACTTCCTATCTAATTAGCCTCGAGTCGAGCTCTCCGAGTTGGCCGAGTCGTCCCCCCCCCCCCCACCCCCTATGTCCCTACCTGAGACTTTGATGCGAGTCAACTCGAGTTGCGATTCGATTCAGTAGCCAAATCAACTCGAGTAACTCGAGTCAAAAAAAATCCAACTCGTCACATCACTGGTAATAATTAAAATAAATAACAGATTAAAGAATACGCTTTTATAAATAAACGAAGTAAAAAAACCGGCCGTTCCGTACCTACCCATTATACCGCCATAATAACATTGGTAAATAATCACCACCGATTTCCTCAGGAACGGCTGGATCTGACAATTTGAAATTTAATAGGTACTGAGGTCTATAGTTCCTATTAGGTCTTCTCTCTCTCTCTCTCTCTCTCTCTATCTTATCTCTTAGTTAAGAATTAAGTGATTAACAAAAAAAAACTTTTATTGTAGAAAAGCGTGGGGTGCATTCATTTGTTATAATATTTTAAAGACAGATATCGGTAAAAGTAGAGTCATTATGGAAATATCTTAAAAATATCACGTTCGAAGGTTCCGTAAAATACGCCCATAGTTCCGTTTCATCCATTTTCATTTTCCACCAGCAATAGGCACTGTACCGCTAGTACCAGGTTTTAAAATTTGGCAATTTGCGCCTTCCAGATGTACATAGTGGATTTCCAGCTAGCGCGTTACGCTTCACCCGCGTTGGATCTGGTCTACCTGCTGTACCTGTGCTTGAACAGGGAGCAGCGGGCCGCCAATCTGCCCTCACTCCTGGAGTACTACACGGACGAACTGCACACGAGGCTCCTAGAGATGAGCGAAGACGACTCGGACTTCCACAGCACGCTCAACAGGGACGCCTTGTACGATATGTGAGTTGCGATGTCATTTTGCCCCTAATTTTGATATATGGATACGGTCTCAACCCTAATGTATTAGATTGCGGTTTATAAAATGTAACCATCTTCAAATGGTAAGTGAAAAACGCACTAATTCCGTAAAAACTTATTTACTTTAGTTTTTTGCAAATAAAAATTGAATAAAGACGGAGATCATCAGATAATAGACATAGTGGCGAAGTATAAAAGTGTAGTCTCTTCCGTCCTAGACTGTCTTTTAGGTAGTCTTTTATCGAATTATATGGTATAATTCGATAAAAGTTGACAAATCGTTTCATATCTTTTCAATTTCCCTTTTCTACTTAAAGATTTATTTAACATTAGATCCTTCTTTACCGTGTCGTTAGATCACTGATCTGCCACCTTTCCAAAAAAAAAAATACAGATTTTTTATGTGGAAAGGTGGCAAATGAGCTGGCGGTTAACCTGATGTTAAGTGACAACCGCCGCCCAGAGACATTTACATCGCCCTTAGGGTTGCAGATGTATTGCCACCTTTTAATAAAATGGACCCAGGTTACCTCACACACCAGATGTTACGCAGAAGTATAAAACGTCTATTTCACGCCGCCCTGTGAGATCGTGTTACTTCGCGGAGCTGCCCATTCGTGCAACAGCTAATAATGTTGCGTGGCCCTATCACAGCTAAAGTACTATTATTGTGGATCGTATTTCATGTTCATATCTTCAGGTTGCAGGAAGAGTTCAAACGAAGCAGTCGTTTCGGGCTGGGAATTGCTTTGGACATGTATCCCATCATGACTTGCGACAGCGACGAAGCCCCAAACCTTTACCAGTCTAAGGTACGCAGTGTTGCACATCACTATTGATTTCGGACATAATGATCGTCTCGACAAATTAAATAATGCAATGTTCATTCGAAAGCTTTCGTCATTATACATTAATTGCTTTATTTCATAACTAGCTTTGCGCCCGCGGCTTCGCTCGCGTCGAAGCCCTGAAATAAATATCCCTCTACCATTATAACACGTTTTTCCAATTAAAAAATAGCCTGTCCTTTCTCAGGCTGTTTACCAAATTTTATTTAAATCGATTCAGAATTTTTTGAGTGAAAGTGAGACAGACAGACAGAGTTACTCTCGCATTTATAAAATTAGTATGGATTTCGAGACACCCAAAATGCCGAAAAATCAAGCAACTCATTGGTGATGATTGATTGCTCGTTATCCGACCTTTTTAGAGGCCCAAATCCAGCAGTGGAATAATTGTGAGCCACGATGTAATGATGACATTGCAAAGCTAACAAACAAATGTCGCAATTTCTCTTTTCACTTGCCTTAGTCTACCCGAAACATACGCGGTAGGTCCACACCACAGCTGTTCTGCTACACGAAAGGGCGGGTTCGACCTCACAGAAGACCGGCGTAAAGTGCCGAAATACTTTCGCATTTCGTCTGTTGAGTTAGGCAATCGGCTCACAGTTTTTAAAGGTACGCATCTGCAACCCTTCAAGTGTTGAAGATTTTCATGGGCGGCGCTAATTAACATAAGGTGAACGGTCTGCTCGCTTGCCATCTCTTCACACAAAAATGAAATAAAACAAAATCTTAGCGATCTATAATTTCATACTATGAGTATTGGAGGCAAATTAAGGAAATAGTTGTTTTCATTTCTTTAAAGGAAAGCGAGGTGAGACCTTCACATGATGACATGAAGCCGGTCTGGACCTCAAATGCGGCGTGCAGGAGGAAAATGACCGACCTAGTCCAGGAACTCGTCGACGGAGATCTCTTATGAGCTGACGTACTCTGTCGGAGATGAAATTTATTTATTGTGTTTATTAAAGGGAATTAAAGTGACAATTGCTGTTTGATTTATCAAGTGTGAACCCCCAGGTTATGTATTTATTAAAGGGAATTACCGACAATTGCCGACCTCAAGATTAATTTCGTAATTGATTTATTAAGTAATGCCATGTTTTGTTTTATTAAAATGAGACTTTTTTTGTTCATTTCAATATCCTCGCAAATTATTGCTTTTTGTACTTGAAAATTGAAGGAATTGATGCTGTTTTGGTAATCGAAGCTATGGGTTTTGTAGGTATCTCGTTATTGGAATATTTATAGTTTTTATTGAATTGTTTCTAGTTTTGGTTAGATTAAAAAGTTTTTAACTTTTGTTCTAAATTCTCCAAGGCCTCGCTCTAGCTTTATATAGATGCTCTGAAGTTTATAAAATGTTAATATTATGCCATTAAAATATTAAACAAAACTACCCAAGTATTCTTTATATATTTGTAAGTTATAAGAACACTCTTTTCCTAATTCAATAAGGTTATAACGACAACCGCAAATATTGGATTTATGGGCGCAAATCTATAAGAAAGAATCCTCTCACCAGAAATCAGTGATAAACAAAATTTCGTATATAAAATTTTATTGCATTTCGTTTAGTAAATAAACACATACAATAAGATAAGTATACTTAGTTGTTAACGCTTATTCATTATAATTTATATGACATGCGATGTTTTTGTATACTTTTGTGACAATGACTATTCGATCTCGAAATATTTATTACAAACGTACTCAGTGACTACAAATTATATCAGATCATTATTCACAGTTAATTTATTGATACATGAATAGAGAACAGAAATGAAATTTTACTATTAAAAAGAGTAAAAAGAACACCGTAAGCTCATCTCATATACTTAATCGATATGACGTTAGTAAATAAAGAAAAATATGAAATTACCCGTACTCATTCGTGGCACAATAATTTAATTCACGCGTAAAGCTTATTCTTTTTTTTTTTAAATATTCAACATTTTCCTTACAAAAATATAAAATTACGTACGGGTGGAAAAGTTCATAAATTATATATTTTTTTAATTATTTTAAAAATATTTCGTTTTTATAACAGATCTATTTAATTTGTTTTAAAGATTAAAAAAATCAGTCATTGAAAGCTTCAGATTGCTCCGCGTTGAGATTCTAGCACCATCGGCATCTGAAGATTCCAATAATGTTTCGTGGACTTAATTGTTAATACATGTATATTTTTTTCTTAATACTTCTCAGCGTGCCCACGCCTGGGCAACCGGCACGAGCCGGAGCCAACGTAATACGTCGCAACCGTAACAGTTCCACTATAACCCATTTTGGTAATTCACTTGACACTAGCCCTAACACTCGGCTGTGAGGTGGAGCCCGTTGAGCCTCTACCTTTCGAGGCTTGAGTGGGTCGCATGAAACCCGATGTCCTCGGCACGGTCTTCACGGGCGGCCTGGACGCGCCAACCGAGCTGCCGCTGGAGGAAGACCTGGATGCCGGCATGCGGGGCGTGGGCTTTGGAATCGGCTTGGGAGCCACCCTCACCGGCGCTGGTGGAGCCCTCTTGACAGTCGCGATCGACGCCGAGCTGTTCAACGAACTCCTTGAGCTGCGCAGAGAAGCTCTTGAAGTGGACCGCTCGACTCTTAAGGAGCTGGCTCTATTCGTGAAGCTCCGCTTCGGGTCCAGCGGGGTCTTCGGTGGCGGTTTTGTCTCTTTGGTGGGGATTCTCTTTGGAACTTCTGACACCTTCTCCGTCTTGGGGATGGGTGATTCACACTCAATGTTGCAGCCCGAAGAGGCCCCCTGCGAGGCGCTCTCCGAGTTGAGGCTCTGTGTTTCTTCGAAACCCTCGTCGTTCAATTCGTGCTCGCTCTTGACTTTAGGTATTCGAGATGCGGTGGATCTTTCCGATGGCGTTGAAACTGGAGCCCTGTCTAACTTGGCAGTCATAGATTTTCTATACGCATTTCTCGACCATACACCAGTAGGGGGCTCCGTGGGTGATTTTAGTTCTCTGATTGCTTTTTGAACGTCCTCTTGATTAATCGACGTCTGCCGTCTCATTCTAGAATATGGCACTGTTTTCGACTCTTTGGTGGGTGTTTTATCCGTGCTTTGGCTCTTTAATCTGTCTTGCCAACGTTTAAGTCTTGTCTCTTTCTCATCTTTGACGACATCCTCAATTGGCTTGGCTACCTCTTTTGCTGATTCGACAGCGTAAGAAGCTTGGACTTCAAGCATTGATGGCCGAATTACCTGGGTTTCAGCTACAAGTTCCGTTGGGCTTTCTACTTTTTTCTCTTCATCGGGAGAAGTAGCCTCTGTACTTCTCTTGTACCGCCTTGTTCTTCTAGCCGCCGAAAAACGGTCGAATTGGCCATCTCCTAATATCTCTTGGCATAGATCTCGCATTTCGGCAGATGCTTTTTCATTTAAGTTTGTTTTTATAGGTATTGACGGTTGGAATTTTCTACAAGTTTCCTTTTCAGGTGGTGGATTGAAGAGTTTTCTCTGAGCCGGTGGGGTCTCGATGTTATCGGAGTCGATTTCAACCCGATCCGTACGTTCTAGCCTCGTGTCCTTTTCACTGGTGACTTTGATATCAGGTAATTTCCGTCGTTCTTCCTCGGTGATGGACACCAAAGGTTGTGTCGCTTCTATGTGCTGCCTGGACCTCTGTCTCCTTAGCCTCCTCATCTCCTCGTTTTCTTCCGTTTTTCTCCACGGTACTCTGACATCTTTTTTCGGTGGTTGCACATCTGAAAATGTGCAAATTGACTTACCAACTGTGATAACATTAAGACGGACACAATTTCTAGACGAATATTAAGTGGTATTTAAGTCTATACAATATCTAATTATATAGATAACGGGAGGTGAGACAATAAGGGGTTATATATAAAGCGTAAAGAGTATTAAGAAGGCATCCTAACCTTCGACGGCCTCGAGCGCACGCACCACGTCGCTGTCAGGTAGCACCGCTGGCCGCCAGTCGGCACGCGCCTCCCCGCTCCCTTCTCCGGCGCCTTCTGCCAACGGCTCTAGCGTTGCACTGCGCTCGCTCTCTGGAAACATGGAATATCACAAATGCCATTAGGTTCACGGTGTATTCTTGAAGGATGTATTCTAAAAATAGACGGCATTCTTCACAAGGTGACCTGGAGATTAACAGAAACTGGTGTATGGTTGCACAATAAAGCTATATAATTTTAGGCTAATTTTAGGAAATACGTGATACAAGAAAAAATTTTGTACTATCTACAATCATTTGAAATACCATTTGCGTGAAGAATTCAGTGAGAAAAGTGCAATTTGATAATGTCTTTCCTACTCAAGTAGGACATCATTATCCAATTAGCAACAAATAGGTGTAGTGGCTGACTCTTTAAACTAAAGCAAATGTCCTACCGGAGTCGTTTTCCAAGGAACGCCTGTTCGCTTGCAGTCGACGCGCGCGCTCGCGCAGTTCCGCGTCTCTCTTCTCCTCTTGGCTGTTTGCCCGTAGCCAGGATTCTATCTTCTGTCTCCATTCTCTGAAAGTTCAACGTTATTATGAAAACTACATAATCTGAATCGAATCTTGAATTATCATTTAAATTTCTGCATTTTATATTTGTAGAAGATATCATAATTATCGATAATTTTTATTTTTATATAGAGCTATTCAGAAATATAAATGTGTTTAATCTATCGTAAACCATAGACCTAAATCTAATTAAGCATCAATGAATGACGGCAAAGAATGACGAGTAAAAGATTCCCGATCGGCTGGCCGTTTGCCGCCTTATTATTCCAATCCGATACTAAGCAAAATTCAAACAGAGGGAAGAAGCTCGTTAGTTAGTTATAGAAGTAAACAAAGCCTATGTACTTCGGTTTGGCGCCAACTGTCGTGGTGGCGGCGTGAGCAGCGGGATGCGTGGGGTGCGCAACGTCGGGCGGTGCGGGGGAGGCGGGGGAGGCGGGGCCGGCGGGGGAGGCGGCGCGCTCTCGCTCGCGGTCGGGGATTTCCAGGCGGGCGCGCGTGGCACCGCGTCGGGACCACGACCGATCTGATTCAAATTGTAAAATAAGGTAACGGTCTGCTTATGAAAACAACAGAAGAACGGCGGTACAAGAGAAGCACAGCTGGGCAAAGGCCACCGTACATATGGTAAACCAGCGCTGTAGTCTCGTATCGATTGCAGCGTTAAGCAGAGTGCGGTCTGTTTGCCATAGACCACACTCAAGTGTGTGTAAAATATGTGATGTTTGTTTCATTATAATTATTTTTTTCCTTTTACTATGTTTTTTTTTTTTATGTTAGCGGTTTAAATGTACCTAAGATCTTGGAACTGTTCATCCTTATGGGGCGTATATGTGCAATAAATGTTTTCTTTCTTTATTTATTTCTTTGTATTAGTTAGTTCACCACGCGGGTCCACTGCCGACTGGCAGACTTCTTATATCTTCGAAATTATTTGTTTTCACTTAAATTAGAATTGCGACAAAGGCCGTTTAAGGTATTCTACCTAATGACTGGCGTACACAGTCACATCATTCAGTAAAAGGCTGTGGAATTAATTATCAAATATTCAAAAGACCGGCGTAAAGTAGAAGTGTTATTTTTCTGCGTTTCGTCTGGTGAGTGAGGTAGCCAGGGTCCACTTCATTTAAAGGTGGCAACGCTTCTGCAACCCTAAGGTTGTTGCAAATGTCCATGGGCGGTGATTATCACTTAATATCAGGTGAAACGCCAGCTCGTTTGCCACTTTGTCACATAAAAAAAGATCGACTTGAAAATCAACTTGCACTTCCTTGATTAACGTTTCGCATTCATGTTAGTAGTACTTAACACACAGTTCATATAATTCGTGAACACAGATAAGTACAGTCTTCCTGTTATGCAAATGATTCCTGAGGATTTCATCATTTCAGATGAAACATTTTCTCTTCACATTCCACTTCTGTCAGGCCGTGGAGGCTTCCCCGATTAATTTAGTCCATTTTAACGGTAACAAAAACTATTCAACGAGTGAGTAGTTGACTATGGTCTTAGAAGCAAATCGATATGTAAAAGATGAAATGGGTTACCCAGGCTGCCCCAAGCGCTGCGCTCTCGAAGGTCGTTGGCGGCTGGCGAGGAGTGGCGCAGGAACTCCATGAGGCCATCTTCGTCGTCGGCGGGGCTGGCGCGGCTGCGGCGGCGCAAACTCCCAGTCGGCGTTACATCTGGAAGTTTTTCATCCATTTTTTTATGTTGGAAGTTGGCAAGCGAGCTGACGGTACACGTGATGTTAATAGACAGCCGCAATGGCTTACCAGGCGACGGTGATGGGTCGTGAGAAGGCTTCCTTAGGGAACGTCTTCCGAGACCGTTCCTGATGTCCAACAGGAGGGATTCCATCAGGGACTCGCATTCAGAAACAGGTGTACTGCACATACTGCCGGCTGTAATATGCAGAAGATAATATGCTTTAATATGCAGCAAAGAAGGAATGCTCTCACTAATGCCCAGCTGTAAACTGATATTTAAGGGCTAAATTTAATAATTAAATATTGGCTACGAAGAAAGTCTAGAGACAGATATAAGAAATGATGCTTGGATTCGGTGAGTCATTAGGGTCCCAATGTCGATGTGTACTACTTTCGTAAACTGATGTTTTGCCAACTTTCAAAACGGTGGGATGACATTACTTTACCGTTATCTCATTCACCAGACGAATTGCAACTGTATAAGTTTTTCTATAAAAAAAAGTAACCTACACACTGCTGTCAAATGGCTCCTCTGTATAGAGGCTATTAGGGCATAGTCTACCACGCGACTGTGGATAAGATATATAGACCCAGACAGTAGGAAAAGCACTATTTTCATCATAAAATATTTTTCCAGTAGTGGGGATCGAACCCACACCCTCTAGCGCGAGAGGCTATTTCACTATCCACCACGCCAATTTTGAATGTATGGGGCATCAATATTACAATACGATATACAAATACGAGGTAGATTTGGCACTAGTGCAACGAAATTGAGGCATTCAGTTTACGCCAATTGGTGTAATTAGACATTAGTCATATAATGTAAAGTGGAACGACGTTAAAACGCCGCGCAGTATGGACATGAGTCATCTTTATTAAAACATCATTGCTCGTCAGACAATGAACGGTCGGTGTCGTGTCGTGGTCGTTACCGGCTCGCGCGCGTGCCGCGTCCCGCGCCGCGTCGCGCGCCCGCCGCCTCGCCGCCGCCTGCTCGTCGTTCGCCCGCCGCCGCTCGTTGTCGGTGACCGCGGCGCGGAACTTGCTGCAGAACGACACGAACGTCTGCGGGAAGGGGCAACTTGTCACACCAATCAATACTGGGGGCTTTCATTTTGTAATTCATTTCATCAAGCGCCCCAGGTTGCCTATCTCGGCCAAGGATTTCGTCTTTGGGTACATCTAAGAGCACACTCTTAGATGTACCCAAAGACGTAGACGGAAATGTAATACCGAATATCTGTATATATCTCGAAAGATAAATGAAAATATAATTAGAAATTTAATTTTTTATAGTGCTAATCTCTGCAATTAAGATTTAACTTTAAAATTTGTAGAAAAAGCGGCGACAATCTTTTCGCACTTTTTCGACAAATTTTAATGTTAAATCTTAAGTGCAATTACCTAAGCAATTGTTTTGAATGATAAAGAGATTCCTAAAGGATAAACCACCATAAAGTGTTAAAAAAAATTCAGGACCTAAAAAAAATATAGGTTGGTATCTGTACAATGAGTGTATTCACCTTGAAACAATCTTCTAGTTTAAACGCCACCGGATCCTCGCAGAAGAACTCAGCCAATTGCTTCCTCATGCTCTCAACCTCCTCCATGTCCTTGTTCAAGGCAGAAACATCTGTTTCCGCAACCTGTTGTCAGGAGAGAACTGTTTAGCTTTAATCCAAAACACAAACAATGTCTTCTACTCCTTCACATTTTCCGCGAATGATTTCATTCTCTAAGTAGCATTGAGGTCATTAAATACCAAATAGAAACAGTACTCCTTTATATTGCATTCGACATCTATATCGAGAAACACTTATAGCAAACACAAACAATTATAGCAAAGAAAAAAAAAATGTCCTCAATTCTATTAGCACAATTTCATTTCGACATTTCAAATCAAAAAAATTCATTTGTAAACCTATTTTCAAAGATTAAAAATTGATCAGACAATAAACATCGTCATAGCCTTTACTATTAAGTAACAAATTATTGCAAACCATAGACACACAAGAATAGATCTGAAATACAGCCATTTCATTGACAATTCGGTTTCAATTCAATGTGCTGGACTTGGTTACTGAATATAGAATTTTGGCGTAAGTATTATGGAGCTAATGTCAAATGTCTATCGTAACCAAATCTATCTGTAGATATAATATTGAAACCGGCTTTTACCAATTTGTAATGAGTACGTCAGTCGCTACCAACGATACCTGCAGGAAATCGCCCATCTGCTCTTTTATGTCATCTTGCGTGGTCGGCAGCTGAATGTCCCTCTTCAGGGTGTTGATCCTCAGTTCCAGGGTCTTTATCTCGTTGTGCAGTTGCTCCACGCTGGCTTTCGCCGCCTCCTCTAGCACTCGAATGTCGTCAGCGAAGTGGACCAGTTCTTTATTCTTACGTTCTGCTTGCTATATAAAAAAATAAACGGTCAGTTATTCTTTAAGTTGACTTCGTGTTTGATTATACGTATTGTATGAACTCTTCGAATGTAGGCCCACTAAAATAATATTTTATTTTTTTGTACCATCACACACAGCTTTAAGAGCAGAAGAAGGCAAAATAAAAGTAATTTTAAAATGAATATATATTGTTGAAATGTAAAAAAAAAAAACAAAAAGGAAAAATCTTCCCGACTTGTTTTGATAAATGTTAATTTTGTTAAGTCTTTAGCTATTCATTGCGTAGCTGTGAATAGTTTCTTTCTGTGTTTCTTAATATAACATACTAAACATGTCACATTCTAAAATTACCAATCAAATGATAATGAAATATTGTAATAAACTAATGATGTCAGATAATCTTTGTACTCGTACAGATCGACGATATGAAATGCTACAACACTGAGCTTAAATGAGAGCCTTAGCTCTTTAGGTTGGGTATTTTCAATACGATTTAGGTATTGGGATTGATGTTATCGTTCATTTAAGATACCATAACGTTTTAATAGGATACAGCCTTGTAGAAGCTTCTGCGCTTCTGACTCCATGGAGAAAGTTCCACATACTTTCCGTGTACAGTTGAAGTATTTATAATATTTTGCCTACTGCTTGAGGTGCAGATAAGGTTCGCAACCCATCTACCACCATCTGCTGCTCAAACGATTAGCGGCGGTAATAATAAATAGGCTTAAGACCTGGTCAAACAAGAGAGTTTCCGTTCAACGCATATGCTACCCAACGAGTGTTGCAAATGTAGTGGCTATCACTTAACCAGCTCACTTGTCACCTTCTCGCATAAAATAAGAAGAAAAATATGTCGGAAATAGATACCATGGCCAGGTAGTGCATGAGATTCATGCCAGGTCGGTTCGCGCGAATATCTGGCAGTTTCTGGAGTGAAGCCAGGCGGACACCAGCCGCACCGCCAGCATAACCGCCCGCGTTCAGGAAGTTGCCAGCGATCAGGGCCAGATATAGTATCTCCTGTTTAACAGAAGTCACACAAAATGAGTGAATGAATGAATGACATTGTACACTAACAACTGAAATTGAATAATCAACAAAAAATGATAAAAAACTTTATATTAGGCGGCCTTATCGCTAAAAAGTGATTTCTTCCAGGCAACCTAGTAATAGGAGATAATAAAAACAGTCAATTGCTACCTAAACCACAACACACATTAGTGGTCGCGCTAAAACGATAAATTTTAATGATCTTTACTAAAAGAGATAAGACAAATCACAACATTAATTATGGTCCCCTGTTTGGTCTGAAATAAATGCTCAATTCGAACTAAAAGTATAATGTGACTTTGAAGACAACAATGAAAAGTTTTTACTGATCTGGTGAGTTAAGCAATTAGAATTTATCACTACATACCATCAGAATGTTAGTTCTGCGCTGACCAGATTTTAAATGAAAGGAACCTATATTGCTGATTATCTACTTTACTGTTAAAGAGAACATCAAATAAATTGCTACTGCTTGAGTATATGACCATTGATTAGAACATTTATCACAACCTAGCCGAGATTATATATCTGAATGAAGTAGCAAACTAACGGAATAAGCAAAATATTTATTGAGGACATATAACGGGTGCAAAATCTAGATCATTATTTATTGCTATGAAGTAATTCCAAACAAAGACCGGCTATTTGTCATCATGTTGATTCTGAACTTTTATTACCTGAATGGCCCTTGAAGACATCAGATCATCTCCAGCGACTAGAATTGCGTTTATGGCACTCTCCAAATAACCCGCCGTAGACGGCCACTCCTCTTTTAAGAGCATACATTCTATGCGCAGCTTGTAACTGAAAACAAATGTACCTATACTTAAGAAACTAAAATTGATTAACCTGTCTACCATAGTTTCAACCAATTTCAATTATAAATATAATTTTCATTGTTTTTCCTTTTGAGATATGAACGTTAAAAGGGTAGAAATCTTATAAAGAAGTTAAATTCTTTTTAACTCCTTTATAAGATCGATTAACTTGAAACACATTGATTGAGACGATCGATTTAAAGGGAAAACAACGATACCAAGTTTTATGTCTGTGAAGTTATCTCCTTTCATTGGTAATTTAGTTCAACTGCTTACTTCGGTAACTGGATCAGTTGCAGCAGGAATTTCTCTGCATTCCCTAGTTTTGTGACGTCCCCAGTGAACGCTTTTAACATCTCGCACTCGTCGATTTCCGGTAGGATTTTCAATAGTCCCCTCAATTTCTCAGTGCCGATATCATCGTGAGAACCTTCTCGAATTAATTGGATGATATCTTCGTTGGAACTGAAAGTTTATCGTTAAAACTTTATTTGTATCCTCAAAATTACAAACTTACTATATGTTTTGTTTTAGAAACTCCAAAATGTATATTTTCGTTTTGATGATAATAGTAATATTAAAAAAATAAGCAACGCTTGTACTATGGTTACTAGATAACTAATAAACATACTTTTCTTTTGTAAATAAACACATGTTACATAGATATATAAGCACATACAAGCATATACATATACAGCGTGACGTTACAACCGCGATAATAAAGGAAACACAACTAATTCTTTGTTTTGGAAAATTTAATAACTCAGTAAATATTGATATTTAAAGAATGTAAATGTGTAATGCAATTTTTATAAGTTATCCTCTATATGTGTATTGATGTATGGTCGCGTTAGTAGCGCCACGCTGTATAAGCACCCAGACATTGGAAAAACACTATGTTCATCACACAATATTTTTCCATTAGTGGTAATCGAACTCAAATTCTCTGGCGAAAGAAGTAGGATCACTACCCACTACGCCAATCGGCTTATGTTCTGTTTTCATATTTCTCATATAATAACAGCGAATTAATATTACCAGTCTTCTATCTCATACCAATGCTACTCGTATTACATAGTGTCAATTAAATTGGCCTGTTACCTTCGGAACTGTTTGAGGAATATGTTGACGTTCAGACTCCTCTTTCCATCTAGAAGGGTGATCTCCGATGACTCTTTCCTTGGTTTCCTTTCACCAGAGCTGTCGCAGATGGGGCTTCGGCCTAGACGGGGCGAGGAACCCGCAGAACCCGTTGGTTGTATCTGATAAAATGCAATTGTATGGAGTTATTTCCACAAATGAAAACACAAGGTAATAAAGATCGAAGGCATACAATTGATATGGACATTTAATGTTGAAGACGTATACGTTAGTGAGAGAATAACGAAGTAACTATTACTTAGTTACAGTACACTGGGGTGTCCGTATGCTTTAATGAATTAGCTCTATTATAAACCTTGGAAATATTATAACTAAATTAATTTTAAAGGGGAATTACCTGTTGACAGAATAAACCTTCTATTTCACTCCAATCAAGTTCTGCTTTCGGTGAGTGTTTGTGGCTTGAAGCTACCAGCGCCCAGATATTGTTTTGACCAATAACCTAAAGGAATAATGGTTTATTATTAGTAAAGCTATTATTCTAATTATTTCAATTACTTTAAATGATAGATGAAAAAACTTTAAATGGACGCATACGTATTAGTACAGAAATTTTATCAACTTGTGTAAGTCTCAACTCTTCTTACTGGATTTCAATTCTCATCTTACCAATCGATATGAGGATTGAAAATATTTTTTTTTTAGATAAATTTAATTTCAGATAAATGTCAGTTCAAACAAGATTACAAGTCGCTTTACAATATTTCAAGTAGTTTTGATCTTTTTTTTATGCGAGAAAATAGCCAGCGAGCTGATGAATCACCTGATGCATCCATTCGTGCAACAGCAAACGCAAGCAGCACTGCTTGTCCCTTCCGCTGTACACTATATTAATAACAGTAACAGTGAATCCTTACTTTGCTGTTGGGTATCTTATTCCAATTGATGGTCTTCATCTTCGTTTTGGGGATGGGGGTCTCTTGCTGCGGCAGGCGCTCAAGGGTTGCGGGTGCGGGGGCGGGCGGTGGGGGCGCGGAGCCGGCGGGGGGCGGGGGCGGAGGTGGCCCGCGGGGCGCGAGGGGCGGCGGTGCCGGCGGCGCTGGCGGTGCCACTGGCACTGATGATGCTGCAGTTAATAAAACTTTGTATGCACGACGTTAAGACACTGATATAAATGATAACTATACGGTTTTTAAGATGATACGTTCAGAAGCCTGAAGGATCTGCTGTACATTTATGACTAAGCTTACGTAAAGGTGTTAATGATAGGAAAAGCTTATAGATAGCGGTCAGCTTTTCCATAGATCAATGTGACTTTTGAGAGACGGCAACATAAGATTCGTGGAAGATTTGTAATAAGCTACATATTTGATTATTCCTACAAAATTTAGTCAACAATTAATCAATTTAATGACTCAAATAGAAGATAATAGAGCCAATAGACAAAGTTGTTGAGTTTAAAAGTTGCAATTCAATTTATCAAAAGAATTTAAGTAAGATTTGTTTTCCCATGTGAAGGTTTTCATGTCAGCTAGTTTAGTAGTCGGTAGTTTTATGAAATGGGAAATGCTTGCATACGCATAGGGGGCGCGGGTGCTGGTGGGGGAGGGGGTGGCGGCGAAAGAGCCCGCTGCAAGCTCTGTTTCCTTCCGGCGCCTGACGTGTCTCTGTGTTGGCACATGCAGCCCATCTTTGTCTGTAACAAACAAGATCACTCCAAGCAACTAAGTAACAAGGGCCAGTTTGCAATGGCAAATATTAAATGAAGCTGAGGCTGCATTTGTTCGAAGTCTTGTTGTTTATGAAGTCCTTTTCTTTTAAATCAATCCGAGAAGGAAAGTAGACAATCATACACTGCCGTGTTTATTATTCTGGTAATGAAATCAACAATAGAATCAAGATTAATCACAAAATGGGAATGCACAAACAACACAACTGGTAATCCTTAAAATAAAATCATTCATAATTTAATTGAATTTTAACAAGATTTGTTATGTATTTTTTTTTTCGTAAAATAAATGGAAAAACTGACTGATCTGAACAAAGTACTTTCTGATTTCCAAAGTTAATAATAAGCAAAGTTAAAATCGGAAATATTCGTAATTACCATATATCGTTGGTATGTTAATTTAGCTTCGAGGACTACGCGATGGAAAATCTGAGTAGCGAATATTATATGAAAATGCTTACGACAATTTTTTCTATTGTAATTAACTCTAATATAAACTGAATTTACCTGGACACTTGGGGCTCTAAGCAGTTTGGCAGCATCCTCCCTGCTCTCGAGCAAAGTGGCTCGATGCACGAGGGTCTCAGCGGTGTCCCAGATGATGTCGCTGACTGGTTCCTTGGGGTCTATCCGGAGTAGATGCTGGAGGATGCTTAAGAAGGGTATCTCTTGCGGGGTGTCAGCAACCTAAGATACGACAAGAATTGTTATAAGCGCAAGCAGCTTCACAAGCTTTTAACCCTAAAATGACTTTGTACTTCCAAATGGTAGTAGGCGGCGATCCATGGACCTATAGCAAGTCGATAAGGCATTAGTACTGGGTACCCATCTAATACCAGTACAATGTAAATTACTTAGATTTTAAAAATTGATTATTTGTAATTTAACACGGTAAGTATAATTTTACAGATATTATATTAACTTCTCATGGAGAATCGAGAAAACTGTTGTTTCCAAATCTGAGAATGTCATTAAAGTACTGAAAATAATATGTATATTATTTAATAATAAAAATCCTTAAAAATCTGTCTCCCCCACAACTAAAAAAGATCCATTATCACTTCATATTTTCAAATCCATCTAAATATTAAGGTTACAGATCGTGGCAAATTAATAGATAAAAATATAAATGTGTGTACATATTAACTTCCCTAAAAATCATTATCCTCCTTCAGTAGTTAGGTCAGTATTTGTAAAACTTAAACTTCGGAAAACGTAACGAAATTTAAAAAACCGGACGTTGTTTTGCTGTGTGACAGGCTTACTTGTTTGAGTATGGCGTAGAACACGTCCAGGTGCGAGTTCAGATTGATGCCTCCCGGCCCCTGGGCCTCGTCGCTCTCCCGTTGCTCCTCGAACACGTCCAGCTGGACTCCGAGGTCGGGGCTGCCGGTGGCCTCGTGCCTGCGGACGGTCAAACACATCAGCAACATAGCTGGCCACCGACACAGCAGACATCGGCACACAGAGCTGGGGCCAGCTAAAGGCAATTTAGCGGCCCGGTGCAGCGCGCTCGTTTAGCAATTGAGTGTCGCCCACTGGGCTTAGGGTCGATGTACACTGCGAATGCATAATGCTGTGTTCGTTATGAATATATAATCAGATTTTAGATGTCAAGCGGACAAGTGGTTCGCCTGACGTTAAGTGTTTACCGCTTCCTATTAACATCTTCAACACTTGAAGAGTTGGAGATGCGTTAGCAACCTTTAAAAAAGTGGAACTTGGATCTCCTTTCCTTATAAATCTCTAAAGAGGATTAACCAACGCCGATTAATTATATTACGTTACCTGCAAAACGAGCAACCTGATTTCGATCCTCGGTGCCAGCACCAATGAAATTGTCAATTTTAAGTGCTGAATTATCACGTGCTCAGCGGTGAAGGAAAACATCGTGATGAAACCTGCATATTTTCGAAATAATAACAAAAAAAATATTTTGAAGATATGTGAAGTCCGCCAATCCGCAGTGGGCTCGCGTGGTGGACTATGCCCTGATATCCTCTGTACAGAGGAGGCCTTTGCCCAGCAGTGGGACATGTATAGGCTGATACTTTACCTACATAACCGGAGGTATTGCAGGTTAGTTGTACATAAACTTTTAACGGTTGGGACGCATGACACCACAAGTCTCCAAAGTAATGCAAATATCAAACTTCTTAATGCTTGTCTCCTGAGTGGGTAATTCCCTGGTTTAGCCGACCTTTATTCACTAGCTGATGGCGTTTCCATAACGACTTCTTTCACCAGGTTCTAATTCCGGTGAAAAGATAAAAATATAAGTGTAAAAACATTATTTATTTAAAAATAGTTTATATTTATTTTGAACTTTTAATGGTTGTCTGTGCAAATACGAATCTCTTATTATCAATTTTTAAGAAATTTAACGCATAAGATCAAATTTATATCAAATAAATTTGTATTAATTTAGTTGCAAGCGAACATATGCAACTAAATAAAATGCAAATCTTTGTAAAGTTGCATAGACAGGTAGGTAAGCAATGATTGCTTATTTATCGAGTTCTACCTAGACGCTTATATGCCAGTTTAGTACTTATTCAGTTATAATTAAGCGTTCGTGAAGTTGCTCCATATGCCATATATATCTATTATTGAGAGATTTCAAGCAACATCTTGCTTGATATCGAAGAAACAGAAACGTAATCCTCAATCGGAAGAGGCCATTTCGCAACAGTTCGAGAAGCTGTGAGCCCTTTAACAATATTCACTTTCCGTCAGCTGATACATTTGATTATTGTATTGATAACGTGTTGTTAAATAACAGCGGAGGATATAGATTTTATCGTACTTTAAGGAGCTTTTGAAGCAGAGGATATTTATAAAACTATAAGAGGAATTGCTAAAACAGACAATCTAACATCAGAAAACTGATGCTTTGGTCCAGTAATGTCAAGTAATGCTTTTTGATAAAATACCAGTTACCCTAAAAATGGACATCATAAATTGCTGCATCAAACCAATTTGTCTTCCCACATCTAAATAGTCTTTGTGTATTTTACGTAAGGCACTTTCTTCCATCGTTCAAAAACCTACACGAATATTGAAATTGATATTTTCTCAATATTCGCGTACGTTATGAGACGAAAACGAAATCGTATCGTGTGTCGGCACATTAGCGGTCTGGGGTCCCGGCGCCATCTTGGACGCGTGGGTACGCCCACGCACTAAATCATGTCCTCCGTTTTATTTGTACGTTTGTTTGTAGAAACGACCGGTTTCCGAAAGTAAGAGGTTTTGGTGTTTAGCCTACGTTTTATAACTGCGAAAAGGTTGTTTTGTAGCTGCGAAAAGGTACCTTAATTTTCTTGGGAATTTAAGTTGACTTGACTATTGTGTCGCATTTAGGAACTTTGAATCATACCCCGGGAACAGTGTTTAGAATTTCCTCAGTATAAATCGTATATATGCATTCATGCCCTTCAACTAGAAGATCACCTTCTACGGTTCCACTGAAAATATTCCTAAGGTTCCACTGAACATCAGCATTCATGAAGTTTACTAACTCCGTGAACTCCCGCTGAGTCGAAACCTATTCGGAGCATTTAAATTGTATTTCTTTATATTATAAACACTTTTCATTTATTCATGTATCAAAATAACTTTTCTTTCTTTCTTTCTTTCTAGATGTAGGATGCTTTCGTTTACTATTTTCACCACCACCGTGAGAGCTTTTCCAAAATAAGCGCTTGTATGCTTGAATGTAGTGAATGAAAATTTGACTATCGTTCTACCGGATATTTAATTGTTGCTGGAATAGTTAAATTAAACGCAGTTTCCTTGTCTTGGTGGCATTCTTGTTTATGTTAGAAGGTGGCAAGCGACCTGGAACTTCACGTGATGTTAAGTGATAACCGCTGCCCATTAACATTTGTAACACCCGTATGGTTGCAGATGTGTTGCCACCTTATTATAAGTGGGCCCGGGCTACCTTAATCAGCAGACGAAACGCAGAATTATGTCATTTCCATGGGATTGAAGGATGTTCGTTAGCGAACTTATCTGCCAATTTTTTGTACAAATTTCTTTAGATTACAATCAAGAGCTTTCCATCTTCAAAATGCAAAAAAATCACCTAGTGCTAGTTTTAATAAAACGTACATATTAATTATGTCGGTGCGCATCAAAATATTTTCTTAAATATTCTTTTAATGCATCAAAAAAGATTCACGAAGACAGAACAAGAATGAAAAAAATAAGCGCAATGAGTTACTTCAAACACCCGCCTACACCTTAGTATGTGTTGCATCTGCCATTTAAATATGCACGGATTAATTGACGCCCAACGCAATCGTATTGGGTTGAGGAATATATCCAAATGGTCCACGGCGCGGCATGAAACCAAGTTGATCTTTAGAGCTCATAAATTCGCGAAGGCTGGCACAGGCTCGGGATTATGCGTTTTGAAATAAACATAAAACATTGGGCTCGTGGTTTGTTGCGGGCTAGATATTGAAGTCACTTCAACGTGTATTTTATCCTCTAGATGCAGTGTAAAATTTCTAAATGTCATTTGTTCTATACATAGATAATTTTAATTACTATTAAGTAGCAAGCAGACATTGGAGACATCAGATATTGATAGACATAATCTTTATTTCCAGACTTGACGATAGCCAGGAATTAGTATTGATACTGGAAACTGCTCAAACAAGGAGAATCTAAAATGTAAATTGAAGCAATGTATTTTTAAACGGTTTTTGTACCATATTTTTGAGTTTCACTTTACTCTGTTCATGGTTTCGGTATCTCGGCGAAGATTACACATAATTATATAAAATTTGATTCATGATAACATCGTATTTGACTTATCACTTATAATGACTATGGGGTTTTGTTTTTCAAATAGTAATGGGTTCTTAATAGAAAACGTTCATTTTAACGATAAAAGCAAAGTTAATAAAAAAGGCACCGGTCGCGACCCTACTTACGAAATTTCACAAATAAATATTAAATTAATATAAAAACAAAGATATATTCTACGGCGTCTGAATAACCTTACAATGTCAAACTTAATCATCACAAAGCTTCCATTTAATTCTTTGTATGATTGCCACACAATGTTCGTGTAACAAAAATATAGGCGAACAGTTCAAAGCGATATATAGTGTTAGCTTAGTGATAGCTTAGTGTCGCCTTTAATACATATACTCGAGCAACCTGGGTTCGATCCCCGGTGCCGGCATCAATGAAATGAATAGTTTTAAGTGCTGTATTATAACGTACTTAGCGGTGAAGGAAAACATCGTGAGGAAACCTTCGAAAAAAAATTCGAAAATATGGGAAGTCCGCCAAACCGCAGCGGGGCAGAGTGGTGTACTATGCCCTGATACCCTCTGTACAGAGGAGGACTTTGCCCAGCAGTAGGACATGTATAGACCGATATTTTATTTTGTTTTTGCTTCACACAACGTTGACGGTAATGTAATATCAAATACCGACAAAAAACACTCACCTTAAATTGCTTAATGTGGGCAGAATACCCAGACCTGAAAAAGAAATGAAAAGCTAGATAATCAAAAAAGACAAAGGTTCATTAAAGTATATAAGTGAAAATTAAAGTGAGTAATAGCGTAATAAAGATTTCATGTTTAGACATGATAAATGAATAACAAACTAATTAGAGTATAGAAGTGCAATTAAAACGCGTCTCAGAACCACCCGCGTTGTCGTCGCTTACTTGCGACAAAAGTCAGTTGAATAATGAACAGTTTATGAAATATTTTAAACAAATACTCTATCCAATTTCATAATATATATATAAATACTCTATTCAATAACACTCCCAATTATATGGGACTCTACCTTCTCTACTCTATCTTCTTTAAAGAAGTTATGTGTCAAAAAGTTAGAGTGAAACAGAACTACTTTTCTGTTTTACTCTAACTCACACACTCAACAACAATGAAATGCCAACCCATGAACAACAATTAATAACCAATAATGTTAATAACCTATAATAACAATTAATGCTAACCAATGAACTCATTCCTGACACGGATCCTGTCGGGCAACCGCGGCGCTGATATGATGAGGCAGTTGATGAAAGCCACCAACGCAGTCTTGTAGTCTGTGGTGGTGGCATTCTTGAGCTCCTCCACTACCACGTTCAGTCGGTAACGGTCGCCTTTTAAAACCTACAAATCGCGAAAAACATTAAATTTTAGACAGAGTATCATTACTATGAAATTATACATAGGTAGTTGTGTGTTTATTATTAACGAAAACTTTTACATTTTTAATTGGAAAAGAGTCTGTTTAGTTAAGACTTTATACTACCTTAGTCTCTAAAACCTTGTCTTCTTTTTTAGATTACGATGCAATTGAATAATATTTTATGACAAGATTGTCATCACTTACAGTTAAAAATATGCTTACATCTATAACTAATCTAAAAGCCTGCAAGCCTCTAATATATATTATATAAAAGAAATTCTCTTTTTATAACAATTTTACTACAACTAAGTTGAATTCAAAAGGCAATCCTTACCTACTAATATTATAAAGGCGGAAGTTTGTATGTATGTATGGATGTTTGTTACTCTCTCACACATAAACTTCTGAATAGATTTTAATGAAAATTTACAATAATATTATAGCTTATACATCGCAATAACACATAGGCTGTAATTTATAACGATATTGTGTGAATTATCCAAAATATAACAATAAGTTTCAAGTAAGTAGGAAAAAATTCTGCCATCTGCGAGCTATTCTGGTGTATAATAAAAAAAACATTGTTAATACCTTTTGGCCGAGCGGGCGAAGCCGCGTTTAACAGCTAGTAGTCAATAATATTAATTGATAATGTTTCGTAAGCACCTTGTACCGCTCTAGTGTGTCGACAGCTCTCGCATAGCCGTCTGCGTTGTAAACGCATAGCGCAGACAGCAGCTCGAAGACCTGCGAATAAATTCGCTATTTAGTATAAGTCGCTCTAAAATAGGCATTTTAACTGCGGCAGGGCTACGCAACAATCTTTTCTGTTGCGTGAATAGGTCCGTCCGAGTGAGTACCACGTTTCGTCTGCTGATTAAGGTAGCCGGGGCCCACTTTATTATAAGGCGACATCACACATCAGCAACCATACGGGTGTTACAAATGTTAATAGGCAGCGGTTATCACTTAATAGAGCCGTGATAGCTCAGTGTCCGGGCGCTCGCCTCCAATTCAATATACTCGAGCAACCCGAGTTCGATCCCCGGTGCCGGCACCAATGAAATTGTTAATTTCAAGTGCTGAATTATCACGTGCTCCGCGGTGAAAAAAACATCGTGAGGAAACCTGCATATTTTCGAAATAATTACAAAAAAAAATATATTTCGAAGATATGTGAAGTCCGCCAATCCGCAGTGAGGCCGCGTGGTGGGCTATGCCCTGATACCCTCTGTATAGAGGAGGCCTTTGCCCAGCAATGGGACATGTATAGATGTTACTTTACTTTTTTTTATCACTTAACATCATGTGAAGTTCCAGGTCGCCAGCGTTGAGGATCGTTTTACGGATACCTTCAAGAAAAGGTTAATTTACATCTGGGACAAACAATAAATATCAATAATAATATTTTTTTTCGGTCACATTTTTACTCGACGTTTTCTCGTCCCAAACTTAGCAACGCTTGTACTATGGTTAATAAAAACTGATCTGAAACATATTTTTCTTTTATAAATAATTACATACTATACATATACAAACACACAGACTCTGGAAAAACAGTATGTTCTTCACACAACATTTTTCCAGTAGTGGGGATCGAACCCACACCCTCTGGGGTAAACGGCAGGTCCACTACTCACCACGCCAATCGGGCCAGTTTATTATCCCACGTTACGGGTGATGTTGGAAGATGGAACGGGCTCGAGGAAGTACATTTGACCAACCTGCTTCTTGACAGGAGCCGCTGGAGACGTGAGGGCGGCCGCGAGTTTCCCCACGTACTCAGCGTGCTCCACGATGTAGTCGAGTCCTACTCGGCTCTCCATCGCTGCCCTGGTGAAGATAGACAAATAGAACAATTAGGAAGTGAGCCGTGACAGCTCAATGTCTGGGCGCTCGCCTTTAATTCAATACACTCGAGCAACCTGAGTTCGATCCCAGGTGCCGGCACCATTGAAATTGGTAATTTTAAGTGCTGAATTATCACGTGCTCTGCGGTGCAGGAAAACATCGTGAGGAAACCTGCATATGTTCGAAGTAATAACAAAAATAAATGTATTTCGAATATATGTGAAGTCCGCCAATCCGCAGTGGGGCCGCGTGGTGTACTATGCCCTGATACCCTCTGTGCAGAGGAGGCCTTTGCCCAGCAGTGGTACATGTGCTGATATTTTACTCTTCTTTAGGTAATGAACAGTTAAACTGGAATCTGTAGAGGTGCCTGGTGATCACGATTCTCTGGTATATGCTATTTACCCCAATGACCAGGGTAAGAGCTGCTTCGTTTTTTAAAATAATTGAGGGTATTAAATGTACAGCTGATGATTTTGATATGTTATAACATATTTCTTTGATATGAATATTGTTTAACGGAGGAGTTAAGTTGCTGGTTCGTATTTAGATACGTCTGTTTTGCAATCCACATTAGCAAAGTTTTGACGTTCAGAAATGCTTAAAACAAAGTGACTGCAGTAGGGCAACGCGATCTTCTCTGTTGTAGGAATGGGCAGGTTTTGAAGGTGATAGAAGAACGGCGAGAAGTGGAAGTATCCATACATACTTCTGCGTTTCGTCTGGTGTGTGAGGCGCAATTTATTAAATTGTGCCAAGGCAGCTGCAAACCTGTGGGTATTGCACATGTCCCATGGTCGTCGTTTGTCATAAAAAAACTTTAATTTAGGCATATCACCTGTGCGTATTACACTCGGAATTAGAAGCGATAATTCACTGTTTTTTAATGGAAAAATTTTTTGGATCCTCCGTAATATTTACAAGATTAAATCTATCTAAAATTACATATTATCTAATAAACCTAATCCACGCGCCATGATGCCAAGAACGCTAGCTGCATTTCCTCGCTGAATAGTTATGCTTAACCTTTGAGCGAGAAAAGAACCAGCTCTCTTGTCACCAGCCGCGGCTTTAAGCCTAGGACATAAACTTTTGAAAAATTGGACCCCACGGACCAATTATTATGATTTACTTTTATGATACATTTTATTTAACTTTTAAACCACGAAAATGTCTCGTTGCCCGTTACAATTGGTCTATATTCTATAACGTTTCATTGGCAAAAAAAAATACGTTGACCTATTCATGAATTCGCGACATTAAAATTTTCGAATTTTAACGTATCGGAAAAAACGTAGACGAAAACAAAAAAGCTGCTGATTTGGACTACCGCTTAAAGCTTGACAATGACAATAACAGTAACTGGTTATGCTAAATGGCCGTTCATTTCGTAATGTCACGGCACGGGTGGTAACGGCCGAGTTAACTGGTCAAGTTATCGGTCGATCCACTGGTCGGTAGTGAAAGAAAACATCGTAAGAAAACTCATAATAAGTAAAACAAGATGAATAGTGCACTCTCACATACAAACACATCATTCCTCCCAATTTAACATACCATAAAAAATGTAAGTTGTTTTGAATTCTTAAAATGGCCTAATATTATTTATGAATGTTTTTTTTTTGTTTTGTTTTAAAAAATAGAGATATGTAATAAATTCTGCGGCGGACTATGTACATTATACATTGTGTCCAAAGAGGCCTTTGTTTAGAAGTCCATATGCATAGTATTTATTGTTCCAGTTTGAATTTAAAATTGTTACAATTAACGAATTCCCACTAAATAGTAAGTATACGTGTTCGAAATAATAGATACACCGTTTACGAATTAACAGACAAAATAACTAAAATAACACCAATCTATTTGAAATAATTTAGATTATTTATGTATATTGTAGTAGTGCGTCCAAAGGTCGCTTCCCAGCATACGCAACGTCCGTTAGAAGCAAGGTGACAGGTGAACGCGTAATTTCAGCGGTTAAACTGGCAATTTAAGTCCTACAACGGTTACATTGCTTCGATTAACTAACTAATCTTGTGGATCTCTGCGGCGGACGTCAAAAACACGAGGTTGTATCGTCGACGAATACATAATTTTTTTAGGATGTACACTTCAAAGCATAAATATGAGGCATGTCAATACCACAGATGCTATAAAGTTAATCCTGGCATCGTCTGCGGACGCACGAACATAAAAAGTCTTTGTAAGATAGTAACAGTAAGAAAATATGTAGACAATAATATATGAGTACACTAGCATTCACTCTGGAGTGAATGCTAGTGTACTCATAACACCAAGTGCGTTGGAGTTTGACTGTCATTTCTCAAATGTAGTGACTATCACATAAATTATTTTTCAACCTTTAATATACTTTATATATACGATGTTATTCAATATTAAATCTCTTAATAAGTCCGCGTTAACACATGTCACATTCCGTTTAATTGTATATACTTTTCGATATTTCGGATGCTATAAAGTATAACTATACAAACGTCACGGAATTGACTGCATATTTAAACAAAATTAATCATAAACCGTAACGTGGCAGTTGAACCGAGAAGCAGAACTGGCAGTAGCGTACTGCTAGCGGTGTCTTTATAATACATTCCTTAATTTGATCAGGAATGTAAAATAATACTTTGTATTAGAAACTGCTAACTGCTATCGTCGGGCGCGAATCGAGCATTATGCCGAAACAAGTGGCAATTAAGCGGAACAAGCGACGCTTGCAATTGCGAAACCCGGATGGAATTTCTAAAATTTCGTCTGAGCCTTTTGTCACCCGGCGTCCTTACCGCTCAATGCGATCGGCATAATGGGCCAACTATCTTGTTTGGGCTGGGTCCAATTCACAAGCTTTCTCAAGAGGTGCATAGTATTGAAGTTATACTTCATTTGTCATTGTCACATTTGGGAAAAATGATGTCGGTGTTTTTTTTACGACCAACTTCACGGTGTTACCATGGTAAGCAACATAACTTTTTTACTTTACCCACAATTCTAAGTTATTTCATTAAAACGTTATCAATTGCATTTAATTATCTTTTTTCACAAACAAAGTGGCCCACGCAACAGAATTTTCTTTGTAGCTCAGCGGTGAACTTTTAAAAGTCCTTTACTATTGCTAACCCAGCTGTGTTATATATCGAACAACTTCAATGTGTGTCTAGATAAATTGGTGAGTTGCCTATCAATAGATGTTCCAAGTAAGTGGTATTAAAGTATTAGCGAACGTTTCGAGGTCCCAAAACATGTTATTGTGGATAATTTGATACATACTGTGTCACATATTTGTAAATAGTCTCACTCGTCTCGTGTTATGACGGCAATTACTTCTAATCGGATAAACCTTAAATAAAACAAACATACGCGCGTCGCTTGTCACTTGCGACACATTTCAAAGCTTGGGCTAGGCAAGGCAGGCGGCCCACGCGCTCCCGTTATGAATGGAGCTCAGCGCTCGCAAACATTCTCTGGGTTTCATGCAAATTCTTGGAAAGGTATGACTTTAATGTTATTTATCAATGTAACTTGTAATACTGTGACACTTTTGAGGCTTATAAAGGCTTCTAAAACAGAGAATTCTTGTGCCGATGTATTTTTGTCATTACAAAGAGATGGCAGATGAGGAATAATCTTATCAGCATGGTGCTATGGCAGGCATTAAGTCTACTACTTCTAGAAGGATAGACAGTACTTCCACTGCAGCTTTATAAGACGCAGACACAGCTGCATGTCTTCCATCATACCTGCGCTGAGGCATCCGGCACAGCACCGTCGTCTATTTCAACTTAGATTTATTTACAAGTTTAAACAGAGTTATTTACGACTCGTGCTTCGTTGTGAAAAGATTTTGTCTGTTTATATTTTTGATTTTGTCTACCACAAGCAACGCTCACAGGGTTTATTACGGTGTGTAACTGCTGTTGCGATTTTCCACTGTACAACACGACAAATAGAAATTATCGATGGTCAACCCACCACTGCGCACTTTGCCACCAAAATTTCTACCACACATGACTGCTCTGCGGAATGAATTATTAACAATTAATTCCGTAGTACACCACTATATTCCGCACCACTGTATTCGACGATAAGAATACGGGACCTTCGAGGCGAGATTACATTCACATGAAAATCCACGGGTAATGAAACTCACCATCTTATGACGCTTGCCCGTAAGCCGCTCCGAAATAAATAAAAAATCTTACAACCGAAATGCAAAAGAATAAATATTTTAAGCATCTTATGCGTACACTTAACTTGAGTGTGTAGTTACGCAAGTAAATAGTTCTACTTCTTCAGCGTAACAAAAGAAAAATAACTGAAAATTTTATCCCGTGTCCTAGTAGTTATCGATATATAACACAGATTGGTAATAAAATACATTAAATGCAACTGAAAACGTTTTATTAAATAATTCGGAACTATAGGTCAATGTCAAAAAGTTGTTATTGGTGACGATGGTGACACTATGAACTTGTTCTCGCCTTCATGTGTCGCGCATGAAATCAAATCAAATATATATCTTTATTCAAATAGACGCTTGAGCGTTCTTATGAATCGTCAAATTTTACATACATCGTTAAGAGATTTAATTTACATCGTAAAAATTCACTCCATATTTTCCCAAAAGGAGTATAACATCAAAAAGTTTTAGTATGAAAAATTATATTACTCAAAATAACGTGACCGCTTGTGCATTACGAACATATTACTGCATTTGCATCCTTGTGTTAAAAGTCACGTATTCATCATAAAACTACAAGGTTTTTGTTCCTTAACAATATCAATGTGACCAACATAATCTAGATTAAAAGTGACGGCAAGTGTTACGTGCAAAAAGTTAACACGCTAAAATATTCATTTGTAATAAAATAAATTTATGATATTATTTTCTAATGCTAGAAATAATTTAAGTAATTATCGACCCAATTGCTGTAGCGTATAGTGACCTCTTGCGTCAGAGGGT